TATCTTCTTGCTTTTCTTCTATTTTAACGGTGGATGAATAGCTCCTTAGCCAATCTTGGGTACAAATCAAACTCTCAACAATCTTTGGAGTTAAAGAACTACGAAATGGATCAAGCACACGACCCCCCGTGCTAAAAGCAGACTCCGAAGCCACAGTTGATATAGGAATGGCAAAAATATCACGTGCCATGCGAGAAAGCACATGATATGAAGAGTTTTTTTCTTTCCATCATTTCAAAATATTGAAAGTTTGTCTTGATCCATTCCCAAACTCAACGGCATCGTCCAAGTAACGTTCTAACTCTGATTTAAGGACTTTGATTTGCTCAATTTCTAAGAACTTACCCCAATCCACTACATCATCATCAAATACAACATTTGGATCATCTGAAATATTTGTTCCAACATTAGTGCCTTATTTTGACGCGTCATCATTCTTTAATGAAGCTAATTCAACCGATGAGTAGTGTTCATACAATTTATCCAACACGACTTGCACCTTTTCAATCAACTCATCAACCTCATCACGAGTATAAACTTTGGAAAGTTTATATCTCAAAAACGTCAGCTTGTAACAAGGATCTAACACTATCGCAATAAGCAACAATGGATTAATTTTATCACGATCACAATACTTCTTAAATTTCAACATCATTTTTTCTTGCTATCTCACGAAAGAATATATTGTCACTACTTAAGGATTTATGTAATAATATCATTTCATGAAAATAAATATTAGCAGTGACATATTGTGACCCCGACACACGCTTTGTAACAAGATAAAATTGTTGCAAAAATTTATGCAAGTTCTTTACTGGCAACCAATCATCATCAGTAGGAGTCCCATTCTTAAGTTCAAGTGTGAAACTTCTATCTTGCTCTTCTAACCGCTCAAAAGCTTTTTGGTACTCAAGAGCGGTGTCAAGCATATAAAAAATAGAGTTCTACCGTGTTGGCATATCCAAACACAAAAGATTTCTTGTATGGAATCTTCTCAATATCCACACATTTCCTAAACAGTTGATAGCGGGAAGGGGAACTCCTAACATATTTCACACCATCACGACTGCGAACAATAGCACTATTAACTTCATCAATTCCATCTTTCACAATTAAATTCAAAACATGCCCAAAACACCTAACATGAAGCATAGTCCCATCTAACAACGACTCATTGCGTTTGGTCAACCTCTTTTTCAAAGATGTGGCTGTGACATCATNCGACTCATTGCGTTTGGTCAACCTCTTTTTCAAAGATGTGGCTGTGACATCATTAGAACTTGCATTATCTACAGTCAGTGTATTCACTTTATCAATCCCCCACCCCAATAAACAAGTCTCCACAAATTGTGCAATAATTTCACCACGATGTGGGGTTAGAAGCACAAGGAAATTGATGATTCTCTTTTGTAAAATTCATTTTTTGTCAATGTAATGCGCGGTGAGACAAATATACCCAAGGTTTTAAATGGAAGTTTACAAATCGGTGGTGAGACAAACACGCGATGCAGAGGATTCAAAGATCAATCTCAATTTTTTCCTTTCAATTTCATAAAGATTGATGCAATCTTTGGTGATTGTAGTTCTTGACACCAAATTAAACCTTGGTTGCAATACATTAAGAACCCTTTTAAAACCTTCTTTCTCCACAACACTAAAAGGCATTTCATCAGTAATTATCATTCGAGCAACCTCTTTCCGGACAGCTTTTTGGTCAAATTTTCAATTACTAATATTACTACTAGGATCACTTGCAGATGAAAAGTTAATCAATATTTGAGTAGGGTCTTTATTCTTTTCACATTTCGGACACTTGAATAAGTGTCGCCGAATTGTACTAGTTCCTTGTGAACTATTATAATGAAAAGTCTTTTTGCAATGGTTGCATTGTACTTGATCAGGTTTTGATCCATCTTCTTTTTTAATTTTCGTGAAATCAAGCCAAACATCAGACTTTTCAATATAAGTTTTTCGGCGTTTGGGACTTACCGAGTTCCCTTCATCAAGGTTCACAGAAACAGGCTCAGATGCAAGATTAACCATAGATTCAGCATTTGTCTCCGTCTCCCCCATTAGTGACATGTATTGATTCACTGTCCCATAAAATCAAAGAACAGAAAAATGATCNATAGACTTTTCAATATAAGTTTTTCGGCGTTTGGGACTTACCGAGTTCCCTTCATCAAGGTTCACAGAAGCAGGCTCAGATGCAAGATTAACCACAGATTCAGCATTTGTCTCCGTCTCCCCCATTAGTGACATGTATTGATTCACTGTCCCATAAAATCAAAGAACAGAAAAATGATCAATTTATGCAACTAAAGATTTTCCACTGCAGCAAACAGGCAAAACTTAACTCAAAAGAGGTCTGAAAATTAACTCAAAAAATGTGAAAATAAAAATGAAAATTGCATACCTGAGTAGATCTGCTCTGATCGAAGGAGGCGCAGTCTGATCTGCTAAGAACGAAGGAGGCACAGTCTGATCTGNTGCAGCAAACAGGCAAGACTTAACTCAAAAGAGGTCTGAAAATTAACTCAAAAAATGTGAAAATAAAAATGAAAATTGCATACCTGAGTAGATTTGCTCTGATCGAAGGAGGCGCAGTCTGATCTGCTAAGAACGAAGGAGGCACAGTCTGATCTGCTCTGAGAGAGAGAGAGACGAAGACGAAGGAGGTTGAGAGGGCTGATCTGAGAGTGAGAGCGAGATACTGGGAGACCGAGAGAGACTGAGAGACCGAGAGATAGGTCTGATCTGAGGGTGAGAGTGAAAGACTGAGAGATCGAGAGACCGAGGGAGACTGAGAGATTGAGAGACAGGTGAGAGTGAGGGAGTGAGAAACCGAGAGATACTGAGAGTGAGTGAGGTTCGCAGCAGACTTGGAGATTCAGATTAACTTAGGGCAAATTATAACTTTGTATTTATATAACACTAATTTGGGTTGAACCCCGATTATTAATTCGGGTTGAGCCCGAATTTAATATTCGGGTTCAACCCGTGAACCCGAGGGGTCAATCCGAGGCCCGCCCAAATTGAATTCGGGTTGATGTTTTTTGACTCAAGCCCAACTCAAGTATTAAAAACCCTTGCCCAAGCCTAAATTTTTTCGGGTTAGGCTCGGGTTGAAATCGGGTTGCCCAGCCCAAGTTGCACCCCTAGTCTTTGGGAAAGGCATTAAGGTCTCAAGTTACTTGAGAATTAATTTTCAAGAGCTAGAGAAAGCGCAACTTGCAGTTGTTGGATTAAAATTGCCAAGAGTAGGTTCTANGAAATCGGGTTGCCCAGCCCAAGTTGCACCCCTAGTCTTTGGGAAAGGCATTAAGGTCTCAAGTTACTTGAGAATTAGTTTTCAAGGGCTAGAGAAAGCGCAACTTGCAGTTGTTGGATTAAAATTGCCAAGAGTAGGTTCTANGCTAGAGAAAGCGCAACTTGCAGTTGTTGGATTAAAATTGCCAAGAGTAGGTTCTATCATGTGCAAAATGGGAAGAACATGACCCCAGGAAAGATTGAATTTTATATTGGAGATATGGATTTTGAGTTGTGCGTTAAAATATTAATACCCCAATAAGGGTTGACAGATATTCCTTTGTGTCAGTTGTAGTATTAGGTATCAATGGAATGAAATTTTCAATGGCTTAGTTGCTTACTAATTAAGACATAAGACATTAAAAAGAAGCCAATATGGGGAAGTCAATTTGTTGGTAACTTGAAGAGACAGTATGAAGCTGAGGTCCAAAATTTGAGAGTACCATGGCAAGGAACGTAATGGGAGTTTTTGATTTGAACACTGGAGTACAAGTTATAATCACTATGCTGAGGTCTCTAGCAAGAAGCTGAGAGTAGTTCCTAATGCTTGTTGCAGTGATACACAGTGATTGATGCATTTTCCAGAGTGCAGAGTCTTAAACAGCAAGCAGTGAAATTCACAATTTATGCCCAAATCTAAGTAGACTGATTTTGACTTCCAAGAAACCCAAAACCCTCCAAGTAGTCTTGCCATGATTTTGCTCTACATTGGATTCAGCAAAGAAACAATTGGAAGTGCTTTTTTTTTTTTTTTNGTCTTAAACAGCAAGCAGTGAAATTCACAATTTATGCCCAAATCTAAGTAGACTGATTTTGACTTCCAAGAAACCCAAAACCCTCCAAGTAGTCTTGCCATGATTTTGCTCTACATTGGATTCAGCAAAGAAACAATTGGAAGTGTTTTTTTTTTTTTTTTGAAACTTTTTTTTTTGAAAGAACTTTCAACAATTCAACCAACGGACCAACCAAACCAATCCATATCTCCCAATAAGGGAGCGAACCAAGAGTCGAATAGAACTCAATATAATATTAATAGCGACCATGGTACCGAAATCCATCAGTAGGGCCAACTTAAATTAGGGCTTCAAAATTTCCCAAAAATGGAAAACTAAGGGATGAAAAAGCACATTTAAAAAGAAGGGGGGGGGGGGGTTGCCCCTTGGTCTTATTGTGCTTGGCCACTGGCTATCTTGCTTCCGTCATGCTCTTGATTCATTCTTTACAACCAATTCAGTTTGTTTGTCCTCTGTAATCTGCATGCTTTAGCTTTGTGAGATGACTCCCTGGAATGTGAGAGTTTCTTGCACCATCAAAAATTATGTTCTTCCATCTTCGGTTTCTGTGAACAATATAGCTAGCTTACATTTTTTGGTTCCATTTTTAATAAAGGATGCCATCACCTTGGATTGGCAGATAGAATTTATGATCAGTCTTTTTATGCAGTACTGAGGAATATGGCAGCTAAGTGATAGCCAGCATTTATTGATATATTTGGCTTTTGAAGATGACTGGACCTGCTCACTTACTGATTAACAGTTACTATCTTTTAATAGGTGCCCCAGTAATTGGTGACTTGTTGTAATAACACTTGCTTAAGCAGCCTAATGCGTTATTTTATTTGACAATGAAAATGCACATAATTTTCTGAATTTAATTGAAGCTATGTGTTTGTTGATGTTAATCTTCTCTTGATGTCTTATCCATCATTGCAGAGAGTAAAGACTTGTGTAAAGAAAGACAACTGCAATCCTGTTTGGAATGAAGAGTTAACTCTTTCCATAAAGGATCCAAATGTTCCAATCAAACTAGTAAGGAAAGCTTTCCATTATTGGTTGCATATATTTTCAGTATGCTAGTCACTAGTTGCTCAACAGGTCATGAAAGCCATATTTTTTGTGATGCTTCTTTGGCTCATTGATTCACAGGCTCTGGAATGTGACTTAGAGAATACATAATATAATTACTCTTTTAAACATGATTGAGTTAGGGCAAGTGGACAAAATTTCTTAAATATGGGTTCTCTTAGATGTCAATTTTGGGGGTGCCCAAAGGCATGTATATATTCTTGCTGCTTATTTTCCCTTTTCATTTTAAGTACCGCAATTTCTAAGCATACTATACAGTTTTGTGACGCCTACGGTTATCTTTCTTGTCTTTGTTAAGGACCATAAAATGGCAGCAACCATATGAGCAGATTTTTGATAACACTATGGATTTTCATTCTTTTCAGGCAGTGTTTGACAAAGACACATTTACTGAAGATGACACAATGGGTGAGGCAGAGATAGACATCAAACCATACCTTGATTGTCTGAATATGGGAGTGCAAGGCAGCCTCCCAACTGGTACTAAGGTCGGTAGAGTTCAGCCAAACAGCGAAAATTGCCTAGCTGATGAGAGCTGTATTGTCTGGAACAGTGGTAAGATCATTCAGGACATGCGTCTCAGATTGAGAAGCACAGAATGTGGTGAAGTAGAGGTCCAGATTGAGTGGATTGGACTTCCAGGTCTTCAGAGTTGAGGTACGTACTTTATCTGCTACCTTCTTGTTGTACTGTAATAGTTGGTTTCAGCCTTGCCATGCAAAAGTATACTGCTCTGTATGTACAAACATAAATAATGTAACCTGGTGATTAGCTGGAATGTTTCAGTTTGTTGAATGAGAACTGCCTTGTAATAACGGTATAATAGTGTTGGCGTGGTTCAATGGCTGGGGATTATGTTCCTTATTGGTATCCTTTTTAAAGGTCCTCTTTCTGAACTTCATTCGACACTAAAACCCCATTTTCTGAACAGGAAGGAGATAAAGTCCTAAGTAAAATCCCGAAACTGAGATAAAACAAAGAATATACAGGTTAATACAGAAATGATGTTTCAAACCCAACAATGACAACCAATGGAAAATAAGCCACCTAAAGATAAGTGACCTTCAATCAGCCAGACCTTTAGCATTCTTAGTAACACAAATTTCTTGAACGAAGATCAGTATGACGCCACTGTTCACCTTTGGCTGCGGTCATGTGGGTTATGCAAGATATCAACCGGCGTACAGAAGATTGTCAGGGGCGAAGAAGGGTACCCTGGTTCCAATTGATCCATTGTAATTGTTTGCTATGACTGAAACGAAGAGATTTGCCCAAACCCGGGTGGTATTTGCGGACACTTTGTTGGGCGTGGGGCGGGGGGAAGGGAACTCCATAAAAGTAGGTCCCAAACTAACACTGCGAGGAGCATCATCAACGGGTTCAATGAAGGAAGAAGTGTATATTTACCAATTCAACAACAAAGGGGGGGGATTTTAGTCGTAAAGTAAAGTATAGTTTGAACCTGGAAGCATAAAGCACAAGGAGCAAGATGAACAAAACACAAAGTGACGATTAATTGTGTGCAGAGTCTCGATTTAAAATCTCACATAAAATAACTGGGTTTGAAAATCTTAGATTTTCAAAGAGCTATCACATGCATGCAATCCGTAAATTTATTTAACAATAATATTATTTGGATTTAATATATTAATTTAATTAATTAGTCATTAGATTAATAGTGAATTTAAATCAATATTGAGGATTGTTGTAAATGTAATGCTTGCAATTAATTAAGTCANTAATTAATTAGTCATTAGATTAATAGTGAATTTAAATCAATATTGAGGATTGTTGTAAATGTAATGCTTGCAATTAATTAAGTCAGCAAAATTAAAACCAAGCAATGTGAAAGAGCCAAAATATATGCTAAATATGATTATTAATGTATCGTGCCGTGTTATAAAAGTAGTTTCATGTCAAATTGTATTTTTACTTGATATCAAATGTATCTATAGTAGAGTTCTTATAGTTTATAAGTCGTGTTTATGCAATATTTACTCAATTTCATGTTAATTTATTTATGGGTTAATTGCAAATTATATTTAGAAATATCATTTGAATTTCAATTTATATTTTTAAAAATAAAAATTTTAATTTATATCTTTAAAATAAAATTTTGTATCAATGTACCTTCCGAATATCGTTGATGATTAAAGTTGAGGGAAACTGACATGGAGAAAATTCTTTCGGATCCTCAGAAACGTCGCCAGCTCTCGAATATTATATGACGAAAATTGACAAGAGTTGAAAAATGAGAAGATCCGAATCCTGTCCGAAATATGAGACTCGTCGAAAATTAGATTCGTCGTCCTTATGACGGCACCGGAAGCCAGTAATAGAGAGTCGTCGACCTTATTGTACTGGTTTATATGATTGATGAGGGGCTCTGCTTTCAGCCGAACGATCAGCCCAAATTCTCCTCCACTTTCAGTCTCGACGAGGGAGGGAGGGAGATGTCTAAGGTTCAGCTTGTGGTGGTCCTGATACTTTCGGCTTTCATGCCCATGTTTCAGCTACAGGTTGGTATTCTGCTTCTTCTCTATCTCCTTTTTCTATTTCTTGTAATAAGGCTTATGTGCGTGCAAGATCCTGCATAATATAAAGAACGAGAACAGATCTCTCCATTGGTGAACTTCGGGTGGGTCGGTTGAGTGACCAGGCGCGCTGCTTGGAACAGCCTGCAAGGTACGGTAGCGACCCGGAACGGCAACGGGAGATCCTGGGAAAGGAAGAACGATCCTGTAAGGCTGAAAGAGATTCCTGGAACAAAGAAGAACAAGTTAGAAGGGCGCCGGAGTGTTTCCCGGCATATCCCCTCCGACGATCTAGTCAGTCTTTGAGAGAGAAAGAGAGAATAGAGAAAACACTGGGTGTGTAGTGTGTATAGTTGTAGAGAGTTTGTTGTTGCATACCCGTTCTGCCTTTTGCAAGGAGTATTTATACCTTAAAAGCTCATGATTGCTGTCAGTGCGGTCAGTAGGTGATCATTAAGCACAGGTAGTGTGTACATTTGATTCTGATGAGGAATGTCTTCTCTAATTAACTGCTCGGGGTCCCGAGCAATCAATACTGGGTCGTCGGGTTGTCGACGGTACAATGTGCTCCTCTCGGGAAGGATGCAATAAATGCTCTGTAACAGGAGCATTTATTGCCTTTCATTTCCGAGCCTTACCGCATTGAATGCGGTCTCATCAAGGGAATGGTGCAATTAATTATTTGCTTTCCCAAGTCACGTGTCAGCAACGGCATGCGGTTTGTCTGTCTCTGATGTGATATCATATGCCACGCGTCCATCCCCTATTGGCTGTTACCTCTGTATTCCAGTACGTTCTGACATTACTTGTGTAAGACGAGGTCATTATGAATATCCTAGGCTAGCCTAGGCTAATGACCCGCACGTCAATAGTTTATCCTGGAGTAGAGGAAGTGTCCAGGAGGGTATCTCTCGGCACCAAGGAAAGGCTCATCTCGGGGACCGAGGGAGGTTGCCGACCGAGGTACATATCTGACCGAGAACATGTGTCGGTTGTAAAACATATTGAATCTATGATCCTATATGACGGTACCTCGGGGGCGAGGACATTCGTGCGCCGATGGTGCTTGATCCTAGTAACAGTGCTTAGTGGAACCGAGGACACGTGTCTTCATCATAGGGTATTTCAGAAAAGTCCCATCAACTGCCCTCCAGCCTTCGATTTTCTGACACCGAGGACACGCGTTGTAAGGAGACGAAGGGTTTCCCAACTACCACCCGTCCTTCATCATGGCCTCGAGCCGTTTTCCCCGGCTTGGGATGTCGTGCGCATTAAATGCGCCGTTTCGATTTTCGTGCCCAATGATGAAAATTGCCCCTATAAAAAGCGGGTTCCTCTCCGGTTTCCTTCGTTTTGCCATTTCAAACTTTCTCCAGAGTACGTCTTCTTGAATCTTCGTCGGAGTTTTGTTTCTTCTGCCCTCGCCGACTGCCCATTCTCTCAAAAATCTCAAAGCCAGCAGACCCATTGTTGATTCCTGAACTTTCTGGAGGGAGTTGTTTTAAGGGTTTTCCAGAAAAAACTCCATTTTGACGTTCGGGTGAGTTTCAGAATCCTCTTTCTTTTTGTCCTCCTAGCCTTTTGTTTTCCGATTGACTGGAGGTGTCATCCGGTCGATACGTTGTGATTTAAACCCTCGGGAAACTTCCTCAGGGATTTTCAAGAACAAATACCCTTTTCTTTCTTACTTTTTTAGAGATGCCTCGTCGTCGCCCTGCTCCGGAGAATCCTCAGGCTGGTCCTTCGGGGTCAGGGAAATATAAGGTAANCTTTTTTAGAGATGCCTCGTCGTCGCCCTGCTCCCGAGAATCCTCAGGCTGGTCCTTCGGGGTCAGGGAAATATAAGGTAAAAGGCGAGGAGCAGATCGATAGGTTTAGGGCCAAGTACGACATTCCTCCGTATGTAGACGTAGAGGATTTTGACCCATTGGTGCACTCATCTACCATCGGGGCTGAGGATGCCATGCCTTTCTATGCCAAGGCCATCATAGAGGGTGGAATTAGGTTTCCTTTACCCCCCTGCTTCTTCAGTTCCTCTCTCGTTTTCGCCTCTNGCCATGCCTTTCTATACCAAGGCCATCATAGAGGGTGGAATTAGGTTTCCTTTACCCCCCCTGCTTCTTCAGTTCCTCTCTCGCTTTCGCTTCTTCCCCGGGCAATGCTGCCTTAATGTCTTCCGAATAATCATGGGGGTCTTAGATCTCAATAGGCGCCTCGGGGGTAAATATTGGGCTCAACGATCTCCTTTTCTGTTATTCCCTCCTTAGAGTCATGCCTCACCAACACTTCTACCTCAAAGCCAGGGACCCCTCCATGTACCTTGTAACCCATCTTCCTGACTCGGACAAGGGGTACAAGGACGATATCCTTATCTTCAAGGGATCTTGGCAGAGAGGTGTTGGTCCCGAGTATAATGACTTATTATGCCCTCTGGAATGGAGAACGACAAGTACGTCGGTTCCTTTGGGTTTTTTATTTCTTTCTCCGGACTTCCCATGTTCATGACAACTTTTTTGTTTGTGCAGATATTCCTGCTCGGGAAACAGCTCCTCCCCCTCGGTCGCTGGTGAACTTTGCCGACCTAATCACGATTTGAAGGTTCACGGGTGACAACGGGTTAGGCCGTGCTGCTCATATCCTGCTGAACTATACCCCCGGGTATAAGAAATTTTCGCAGCTTCCGCAACCTTTTGAGCCTTCGTAATGGTCTGAACTCTTCGATCAGGCGGCAAGGCTAGAGGTTGAGGAAAATTTGGAGGAAGACCCGGATCGGGCTTCAGAGGCAGAGGTCGAGGGAGTTGCTGAAGAGCTCGGGGTCAGAGAGGACGTTGTTCCTTCGGACGCCGAGGTGGGGACTTCGGGAGGAGACTTGTGGCCAGACTTCCAAATCCTTCAATCCTTAGACGCCGAAGACGCTCTCGAGGCAGCGATGTCTAACGCCCTTCGCATCGATTTGGGGTTCCTTAGGCAGAGGCAAGCCCTCGTAGCCAGAAGAGGTCGAGGAACGACCGGCGACACTCCTGCGGGGACCAGTTCCACCCCATCTTCGAGGGTTCTCGGTCGGGGTCAGGTGCGAGACCGGGATCCTCAGGTGGAGGAGGAGAGAAGGGTCAAACATCGGCATGATGGCCTTAGCCGAGGACCTAGGGCACCTCCCGCTCAGCAGCAAAGCGGGAGGGGCTGTGGATTACCCCCTGCTCCTCCCCAACAGCAGCAGCAGCAACANCTGTCCCCAGGGCCTTGCCCTTTATCTTTGTCGTTGGCAAGCACTTGAGGGAGAGAGTACTTCAAAAATAATACTTCTTTAGATTCATAACATTCCATGGTCGTATTATAAGTTTTCCACTCATGTCCTCTAATCTGTATGACCCGGCGCCCCCGATTGATATCACTTTGTAAGGCCCTTCCCAGTTGGTTCCCATTTTTCCCTCTGTTGGATCCCANTCCCCGAGCCACTGATCACATGAACCGAGTGATCAGGGTCGACGATTCCATTCTGCTGGATCCTCATGTCGCCCATGCAGTGAGTGAGACACTGCATTTTGAGGCTGACATGGCGGCTCATAGGGGGCGATCAACCAACGTGTTGCTCCGCTCCATCATCTAGAATTCCCTGGTGGTGAGTTTATTTTTGCTTTGGTTCCTTCACTCTTGCTTTCCATTTTTGTGATTAACACTTTTTCCTTCCTTTGCAGGCTACCCAGCAAATCTCCATCATTGCTGCTCGGTACCATGGGTCTAGGATGGACCTCCAAAGGGCCCGGGATGAGAAGGAGGAGGCGGAAGCGGCCCTCACTCGGGCAATGGAAGATGTTGCTGCCAGGGATTCTACCCTAGGGGGGCAGGCTGCTCAAATCGAGCAACTCCTCAAGGATGCCGAATCGGCCAAGGTTGGCGCTGAAAAATTAAGTGCTGCCCTTGCCGATGCTGAGAGGAGGATTACCGAGCAAATGCAGCGGCTTTCTGCTGCAGAGGAGAGGGCCGTGGGCTCANATCCTTTTGCATTTGCGGCCACCAATATCCCTGAGACATGATGCGGTGTGCCATAGATCACCCCCCAGAATGCCCCCCGCATATTCCTTCATGTACCTCATAGAGAAGGTCTTCTACTTGGTCTTCCTGGACGCATAGCAGGTAAGGCCCTGAGAAAGACCTCCGATACAGTTTTNGGGCTCAGAGGAAAGCTGTCTGGCCCTTACCCAGGAGCTGGACAGGATCAGGGCCGAGGAGCTGAACAGAAAATCGGAGGAGCAACTTCGGGAGGAGTTTGCCGATGATGTGCTTCCTGTTCTTGAAGAAAATAGTAAGGAATTCTTCAAGAAAAGGTGGGACGAGGCGCTCCAGTCTGCTGGGATCCCCTCAGACTCCCCGCTCTTCCGAATGCACGAGTATGTGCCCTCGGCAGAGATGACACGGGCCGAAGCAGAGGTCGCTGCCGAGGATGAGGTTCCAACACCAGTGCAAGTCTCGATGGATCCGCCCGAGCCGGTGATAGTGGATCTGTCCGAGGACGCCCCGTCGGACCATGCCCTTGATCCTCAAAATGCCCAAAGTCTCCCTGTTGCCGAGGTACCTGTCCTGCCTGCTCCAGAAGCTTCTCAATCATTCTTTGCCGACTCGCCCTCGGCTGATGTTCTGGAGATGTCTGGAGCCAGATGAAAGTCTCTTCCTTTTTGATTGTACCCGTCTTTATTTTCTTTTGTAGCCATTGGAGACGCAAAGCCCCTATTTCTTGAAATGAAATGAGTACTTCTTTCTGTTTCTGTGTACAGTAACCCTTTTTTTTTTTTAACTGTCTACGGGCTGCTTGCCCATTCAAGAGGCTTGCTCTTGTGTTTGCTTCGGGGACAAGAGTCCTCGAACTCTGTCCCCAGGGCCTTACCCTTGCAGGAGGCTTGCCCCCGTGTTTGCTTCGGGGACAAGAGTTCTTGAACTCTGTCCCCAGGGCCTTACCCTTGCAGGAGGCTTGCTCCTGTGTTTGCTTCGGGGACCAGAGTCCTTGAACTCTGTCCCCAGGGC